CATCGATCAGCTGCCTCCTGCACATCTCCTACTGGGGAGTGAGCCCACAACCCGGGCATGTACCCTGACCGGGAATCGAACCGTGACCTCCTGGTTCAGAGGTTGATGCTCAATCACGGAGCCACGCCTGCCAGGCAAGAGCTTGTGGTCTGGACCAGCGGGAGCTCTTCCCACCTGAACGTGCCTGTTCTCGTAGAAAAATGGAGGCCTGAGGAAAGTCATCCATCGCTTAAGGAACCACCACTTCAACCCGCTGCAGCTGTACAGATGTTTCAGACAGGCAGTATCCTGGCTGCCATGGTGTCCCACTTCATTTCAGGAACGTGGCCGTAACTTCTAGAGCCCATGAAACATCTAAGAACTTTCTAAGCCTAGGATCTCCCAAAAAGGGAGCCCAAAGCGAAGGGTATGTAATGACACATTTTGGGGGGTGCAATCCCAGGTTCAGAAGGAGGGAGGGGAAATAGGCAGGGAGGCAGGGAGGGAAGGAAGCGTGGTATGCTTACTGAGCAGGCCCCAGCTTTGCAGGGGGCACGGTCCATTGCTCAGACACACAGGACAGATTTGAATAAGCCATAAGGATGGAGAAAGGGAGCTGGATTACCTACCAGATCTTTCAGACCCTTTTCTCTTGTTGATGAAAATTCATACCACAGGACTTAACTCCCCACATGTTCGGGTTGGCCTCTACAGACAGTTGCTGGGGGAATCAGGTCGCACGCCCTGTAGTGTGGGACTTCACTTGAGTACGGGACTGGCGGTAGAAGCCAACATCTCTGTGGTGAGTCTGGTCAGGCTGGGCTTGGGCCCACTGCAGTTGGGGTCTCTGCCAAGGTGGGAACCGTGGAGGCCTCACTGAAACTCAGGTCTCACCCTGGGGGAGGCTGCGATACCAGTGGTTGAGGAGATGGGACAATGGTGCTGACGGCTGTCCTCTCCATTGAGCAACATGAGGAGGCAGACAGAGCCAAGCAAATCTGAGAAAGTGCACGAATGGGCTCCAATACAGTCCACCCCTTGCATTACTCAGAGCTGCTCACACCCTCCTATGATATTTGGATCTAACTTAAGAACAGCAACACCGATTGCCCCTGGTTCCTGGGGAGCAGAGCACACCCTCCTATGATATTTGGATCTAACTTAAGAACGGCAACACCGATTGCCCCTGGTTCCTGGGGAGCAGAGCATGAACAATGCTTGCTTGCTAACACTTCATTGAGGGATACAATCCTAGGGCCACAACAATAAGGGGCAAAAGGAAGTGAAGCAAGGAAGGAGGAAAGCAAACACAAAGTTGTGTGTTGCCAAGCTGGCCATCTCTTCAGAAAAAAATACTGCCAGTTGCTCATTCATGCCTATCAGATATCTCCTGACAGGCCAAGTGGAACCACTGCAATCCATATGCTGGGCCCCTCCCAGATCTTGGTTTTCATTGGTCAAAATTTGCCCCAAGGTTTAACTCCCCTATATTTCTGAGTAGAGTTTCCTGGCCCCTGTAGGCAGGTCCCAGGTACCATGGTGTGGGCTGCCATATGAGTCCAGAAGGGGTGAGAGGAGCCAGAGTCTCCCTGGGTCCTGCCGTGGCATGAGGGGACCCATGACAGAGCCTGGTGTTCACCCTAAGAAAGGCTGCGATGTTCCATGGCGTTAGGAGGGTCAGGTGACACTCAAGAGGTACGTAGATTGGGTCAAGTATGGAATATTGGAGGCCAGAATGGATAATGCAGGCTTTCTAATGCACGACACCTGCCCGGGCTCTTCCAAAAATTGGACCTCTGAATCCCGGGTGAGTGGCTATAACATCCCTGGCCTTGTCAAATGGGGCAATTACATTTACCTCACAGAGTTGTGAGAATTGGATTAAAATGTCAAGGACATTTTTTAAAAAATATATTTTATTGATTTTTTTACAGAGAGGAAGGGAGAGAGATAGTTAGAAACATCGATGAGAGAGAAACATCAATCAGCTGCCTCCTGCACATCTCCTACTGGGGATATGGCTGCAACCAAGGTACATGCCCTTGACTGGAATCGAACCTGGGACCTTTCAGTCCGCAGGCTGACACTCTATCCACTGAGCCAAACCGGTTTTGGCGTAAAGGACATTTTTAAGTGGCCCTGCTGATGTGGCTCAGTTGTTGACCAGGATGTCGGGGCTCTATTCCCAGTCAGGGCACAAGCCCAGGTTACAGGTTTGATCCCCAGTAGGGGGCCTGCAGGAGGCAGCCCATCAATGATTCTCTCATCATTGATGTTGTTATCTCTCTCTCCTTCTCCCTTCCTCTCTGAAATCCAATAAAAATAAATATTTTTAAAAAGAGCATTTTTAAATGGCAAAGAGCTGCATGAATAAGCATGAGGGGCTGGTGTCATATCTAAAGATGGAAGCTGTATACTGACCAGCTTTCCCTGCCTGGCCAGAGTGGCAAAGGCATTAACATACTCAGTGTTACTTTGACCTCAACTGGCCAATAGGGCTCAATTTTGTGCCTCATTCTCCTATTTCAAACTCTAGGTGAGAGAAAGTAA